CTGATGACAGATGGAGCTTGGCCCGAAGCCAAGAAAACCACAAAGATGTGTACTTGTGTTTTATTGACTATTCCAAGGGATTTGAATGTGTGGATCATAACAAGCTATGGGTAACTTTGAAAAGAAGGGGAATTCCAGAGCTCTTCGCTGTTCTCTTGCAGAACTTGTCCAAGGATCAAGAGGCAGTTGTGCTAACAGAACAAGGTAATACTGCATGGTTTAAACTAGGAAAGATGTTCAATAGGGTGATATCATCTCGCCATATTTATTCAATCTGTATGCTGAGTCAATAATCAGAAAATCTGTTTCATATGAAGAAGACTGTGGCTTCAGAATTGGAGGAAGACTTGTGAACAATTTGCTGTGTGCAGATGACAGAACCTTGCTTGCTGCAAGTGTGGAGGATTTGAAGCACTTGATGAAGATCCAGAATGTAGCCTCAGTACGTATCATAACTGAGTGTAAAGAAGACCCAAATCTCAGAACTGGGACAGCAGGGAACATCATGATATATGGAGATAAGTTCAAGCTGACAAAGATTTCCTCTTACTTGGATCTACAAGCTTACTTGGATCTAGTGTATTGATGAGCAAGGATGATACTTAGGGGGCTAAGGTGTGCCTCGCCCAAGCCATTGTATTTTCAATTGCCTCATATGCAAGGAAATAGTGAACACTGAATAAGGAAGACAGAAGAAAAATGGATCCATTCTAATTCTGGTTCTGGAGAATATTCAAAGTACCGTGGACTGCTAAAATTTCAAGCTGATCTGTCTTGGAAGAAGTGCTTTTTAGAGGCAAGAATGGAAAGACTGGATCTTACATACTTTGATCGTGGTCTCAGGAGAGACCAGTCCCTGGAGAAGGAGATCTTGTCTGGTAAAGTAGGGCTGCAGCGGAAAAGAGAATGGCCCTCGAGGAGATGGATTAACACTGGGGCTGCAACATTAGGCTCAAGAATAACAATTGTGAGGATGGCATAGGCCCAATAGTGGTTTCTTTTGTTGTGTATAGTGTTGCGAAGGGTTGGAACTGACTTGATGACCCCTAACAACACCTTCAATACACTTGAAAACTAGAATGTCAGTAAAAAAGAGCAAGATGCAAACAAATGCAGAGTGCGTGTAACTAAATACAAACATTATATGATCACAATTGGTATTTTGAAAAATAAATGCAAAGTGAAATCATAAAGCATCATACTTCTGAGCTGGATGTGCATAGACTTTGATTAGGTCAAGTGGCCCTTGCCTGTGTCTATAATAATTTATTTCTTTTTTATTCACTTTGGGAACAAATGTATATAAATAAGAGTGTCTGGACACGTGCATTTTATTACCTTCCTTTATATGCTTAAAAAATATCAAAATAAAGTCATAGGGAGAATTAAGGAAAACTATGTGACTGCGATTATTTTGTGTGTGTGTATAGATAGATAGATTTCCCAAGCACTGGGCAAAAGATCCCTGGATGACAAAGATTAAAAAGGCTTCCTTGATTTTAGCATATAAAAAGCCACTGGGCACAATAGTGGCGATGTACATAAATTTCATATTCGAATTTCAAAGTGCCCAAATGTTCACAACATAAAAGATTTTGGATTTGTTATAGAGTCTATGGGTTGGGCAGCTGGCTACCTCTGGTTAGCGTTTCTCATGAGCACTATAGCTAACTGTGGTCTAAGCGCATGGTCTGTGGTCTCATTCGAAAGCTTGCCTGAGATAGGGTGCAATGTATTTCCATTCCCTCACTAAATTCATGTGACTGCTGGGCCTTAATACCTTGAGAAATAGGCCTGTAACAGGCTTTTCTCGTGATTAGTGAACCAAGAAAAAGAGATCCCAAGAGAGAAACCACATCCTTATAGTAATGCCATCAGGAACTGCCCATTAATCTTCGATTCATTGGAAGTGAGTCACTTACTGCAGCCAACATTCAACAGGAGGAGGTCTTGAGCAGGGTTCTAACCAGGAAGTTCATGTTATTAGGAGCTACTGAACTACCGTATATACTCCTGTATGAGCCAAGTTTATCAGCACATTTTTAATGGTTTTTTTTTGGTGGTAAAATTAGGAGCCTTCCTTCCAGACCAATGGTGTAAGTGGTGATATTGGGAGGGTGGAGGGTGGGTTGGAAAGGGGGAACTGATTACAAGGATCTACATAGAACCTCCTCCCTTGGGGATGGGCAACAGAAAAGTGGGTGAAGGAAGACGTTGGACAGTGTAAGATATGACAATATAATAATTTATAAATTATCAAGGGTTCATGAGGAAGGGGGGAGCAGAGAGGGAGGGGGAAATGAGGAGATGTTATCAAGAGCTCAAGTAGAAAGCAAATGTTTTGAGAATGATGATGGCAACAAATGTACAAATGTGCTTGACACTATGGATGGATGTATGGATTGTGATAAGAGTTGTATGAGCCCCCAATAAAATGATTTTAAAAAAAAGTTAGGTGCTTCAGCTGATATTCAGGATGGCTTATACCCGGGTATATATGGCAACCAGTAATTTATGTTTCCTTGACTTAAATAAGTTCTATGTGTCAAGTATCATGTTTTCCTTAGTCTTTTCTTCTCATTACCTATGGAAGAAAAATGAAAGAAATACTTACTGAAAAGTTTATAAACACATGAACATACAAACACAGCTAAAATCCATTGTCTTACATCTGATTTTTAAAATATTCTATTTTAATTAACTCTAGAAACCAATAATAATACTGAAGCCACTATCCCTATATATTAGCTTTTTTTAAACATCAAACAAAAAGCTAAGAGCATTTATTTTTAAAGAAGTTCTGTAACCACTTATCTATATGGTCTATTTACATAATTAAATAAAGTGTGCATTGTTATTAATTTTATTTTTACCAAAACTTTGAAAATCAAGTTACATTTTAGTCCAAGTTGATTTTTATTTGTATTATTCTTAGGAATTGAATGCAGTAAGTTGCTTAAATGAATATACTTTTATTTATCAATAAAATGATTAGTAAAGATAAGCATCATGCTTCTTAATATTCATTATGTAATCACCCATAGTAAACATCTCTTTTGGAATTTAATATCAGTGTAAACTTTGAGTAACTAATGAGAATGTTCAATGAGAATCTATAATCTTTATTGTTGTTGCTGTAAAAGATTAATTCAAATTTTGGTCACAATTACAGTACCGTAGTATGTGAATACTGTATTAAATACACAGATTTCTGCTAGGTTACTGTTTTTCTAATGTTTTACAAATCCTATTTTATTTACGAAAGCTCTTTCAGATTTGTTTTAGAAGCGTATAAAACAATTAATAAATATGAATTTATATATGTACATATATATGCATCTACTCTCGCTCTCTGCCATAGATGGTACATTTCCCTAATTTTCTGTCTGTTGATTTAAACAATAATCTACAGTCATTGCTACCGATTGCCCTTGACATCCTTCCATGTTCTTATGTTCGTTGTCAAACTCCCATGCTCTCAAGTTTAATTTCTATAACACACGGATAGAGAAATACATTGTAGATTGCAGTAACATGTGACCAAGTCACTTTTGGACAATCTAATACTGGCAATTGACCTCTATAATCCATATTCTTGGTACCTATGGGTTTACTGCTAGTAAAATATTTTTTATTCAGAGAACTACACATCTAAGTCAGATATCTATACAGTTATGCATGAATGCATGTATCTTATAAATTATAATTTTCATATTTAGAGGTCATATATATTTAGTACTTTTTGTATTTTTATATCTGGAACAAAATATGCTTTATGTGGTACATAAGGAAATGTTCACCTCTATTGTTGTCTAAATAGTTTAACAGCTTTTCCCTTGATTATTAGTAAACACACCGAATATCAAATATTTTCCAGAGCACTATCAGCTGTATGTTCCTGAGTCAGCTCAAGTTGGTTCAGCTGTTGGGAAAATCAAGGCTAATGATGCAGACACTGGCTCCAATGCTGACATGACATATTCCATCATAAACGGCGATGGTATTGGGATATTCTCCATCTCCACTGACAAAGAGACCAGAGAAGGGATACTTTCCTTAAAGAAGGTAAGAAGACTGTAATTTATCATGATTCAGGAAACTTGTACATCTTTCTTTAAATGAAACTTTGGTATAAATAGGACTAATCCAAACTCTCAAGTGAAATTATAAACATTCTCTCGTTCAGATGCAATTGCATTTTAGTCATGTGTGTCTATGGTGTAATGTTCTTCCTGCCACTGTATTACAAAAAGGTAGAATGATCGGATAGAGAGTACTACATGAGTCTACGGCCATACCAACTTGAACGTGCCCGATCTCATCTGATATCGGAAGCTAAGCAGGGTCGGGCCTGGTTAGTACTCGGATGGGAGATTACAACATGAATGTGCTTCTCCTTTCTTCATGTTTTGTACTTCTGCTTAATTTCACCTTGAAATATCCAAATAGCTATTAAGGACTTAATGCAATGCATTGGAACTGAATATAAGACATTATGAGAGTATCAAAATAGTGATTTGTTAGTACTTAGAGGACTTCATGGATAATAATTCATTAAAATCGCACTCTAAATTGTAAATAGCCTTCAAATTAAGATTTTCATCAATAATGTATCAAAAATAAAGGGCAATTAAAAAATGAATTTCAAGAAAAACGTATTTCAAAATCTATATAATTCTGATGTAAAAATAATTTTATATATAATTAAGGGCTGCAGCCTAATGGGTTAAGCAAGGTAAGTAGTTTGAACCCACCACCCACTCCTCTGGAGAGAGATGAGACTTTCTATCCCCTTAAAGAGTGACAGTCTCAGATATGCACAGGGCCAGTTAAGCTTTGGGGTGCTAACCACAAAGTCAGCAGTTGGAAAGCACCAGGCACTCTATGGTAAAATGTGAGGCTTCTGTCTTCTGTTCAGAGGTACAGCCAAAGAAGCCCCTGTGACAGTTCTACCCTGCCCTACAGGGTCTCCATAAGTACTATGACCTGATAGCAGCGGGTTTGGTTTCTACAGGGGCACTGAGTACATACTGACTCATTATTGTGATTTTTTTAATAACAAAATTCTTAAGATATTTTTCAGTCACTATTGTCTGAAGTATGTGAAAGCACACAGGAAAAAGCAATGTGCGAAATTAAATACCACCCTGAGTTATTGAATCCTTGGTACAGAGAGTTGCAGGTTACAAAGGCTATCATTTTCTCAGTTTGACCCTAAGTCTAGGTCTGCAATTCACATTTCTTGGTAAGCTGATGCCAGCACATTACCGTCGTATTCAGCCTTAAGGGACTCCTGGTTACACCCTTGTGGCTACTCTCACTCCCTGCCATCCAGTCAAGGTTGACTTATAGCAACCCCCTGTGAGTTTCTGAGCCAATCACTGTGTGCTGGAGTAGAAAGCCCACGACAAGATCAGTGATTCAAACCTAGGAGCAGCTCCTTAGCAGAAGGATGAGGCTGTCTGTTCCTGTAAGGACTTATAATCTCAGATACCTTTTATAGGGTCCCTGAATGAGCATTGACTTGACAGTGGTGGCATGGTTTGGAGGTTTTGGGGGTGGTTTAGGGTAGGAAAGGGAACCCTGGTGGTTCAATGAATAAAACCCTGTCGACAAACCAAAAGGCCAGCAGTCTCAGGAGGAGCAAGCATTTGCTTCTGTGAAGATGATTGTCTTTGAGATCAGATGGCGTAGTATAGTAATATTCTGCCCCATCGGGTTTGGAA